ATTTTCAGAATAACTTTCTCTCTAACAGCTATTAATTAATACATTGTATGCATATTACATGGCATAGGGGCAATTCACTAAAGGGTTAATAGCTCTGGAACAAGAAGGGACAACCATGTCCCATGAAGTGTGCCTTGATCAGTGGACTCTGGGGGACAATGCACACCCCTTGCATTTTCAGAATAACTTTCTCTCTAACAGCTATTAATTAATACATTGTATGCATATTACATGGCATAGGGGCAATGCAATAAAGGGTCAATAGCTCTGGAACAAAATGGGACAGCCATGTCCCATGAAGTGTGCCTTGATCAGTGGACTCTGGGGGACAATGCACACCCCTTGCATTTTCAGAATAACTTTCTCTCTAACAGCTATTAATTAATACATTGTATGCATATTACATGGCATAGGGGCAATGCAATAAAGGGTCAATAGCTCTGGAACAAAATGGGACAGCCATGTCCCATGAAGTGTGCCTTGATCAGTGGACTCTGGGGGACAATGCACACCCCTTGCATATTCAGAATAACTTTCTCTCTAACAGCTATTAATTAATACATTGTATCCATATTACATGGCATGGGGCAATGCACTAAAGGGTTAATAGCTCTGTAACCAATTGAGACAGCCATGTCCTATGAAGTGTGAAGCGAAAAAAATAATCAGTGTGCATCATTGTCTGTGGACTGGACAAAACGATTTTATAACTAAAAACGCCCCACCTTCCGTGAAAAGTTATTAAAGCTAGAAAACTGAATATCGAATATGAGGCTAACTTAACCGCGATGAGTACGTGTAGTACGGGGCTTCAGTCACTTGTACTTTTTTGAGACAATTGCCTCACCCGTGGGGCTGTACTGAACTGCTTGTAAACATTGCATTTTTACATGTAAAGACCAGTACGTTTCGCATAATAACATGGAAAACTGATTAAAAAGAAATGTCAATAAAGGTGGTGATTGGTTAATAATGTTTGGTTACTTGGCTGAAATGCCTTGTTAACGATGTATTACATATTAAATGTTACATGTCAGAGTATGAGGGTGAGAACCTCGGACATTCGGAAGGGGCTTAAAGTAGAGCCGCTGCTCCTCCACATCAAAAAGACCCAACTGAGATGGTTTGGGCATGTCTAATACCGCCTGGACACCTCCTTGGGGAGGTGCTTTGGGCATGTCCAGCCAGCAGAAGACCCCAGGGTAGACCCATGACATGCTGGAGAATGTATGTCTCTCGGCTGGTCTGGGAATGCCTTGGTATTTCCCCAGAGGAGTTGGAGGAGGCAGCTGGGAGAGGGAGGTCTGGGCATATTTGCTCAGACTGCTGTCCCCACAACCCAGACCTTGATAAGTGGTGGTGAATGGATGCATGGATGGACTTTAAACTGTGATATAAAACCACGTAATGCTTCTGTTAAACATTCCAGAGCAGTTGCCTGTACTACAAAGCGGGGTTACTGGCTTATGGGGGTAACTTGTCGGACTTAAGATAGTCTGGGCAAAATGTAAGTGAACGAATATGAAGTCCATTTAAACTGTGGTACCTTAAATCCGGCAAGTTACCCCAATTAGCCAGTAACCCCAATTCGTAGTACAGGCCACAGACCAGGGGTGCGTTTCTCGAACAACGACGAAAGTTAGCATTAACGATGCATCGTACTATGGTAGTTCAAACTAACCAACATCCGACCAACGACTGTTTCTCGAAACCGTCGTACCACAGTTGTCCGAACCACGTTAGTTAGTTAGTTAGTTAGGACTTATGTAGTTGGAACTACAGTGGTTCCAGCGCTGATTGGTCAGACTCACGGCTAACCTACCGTAGTTTAAACCACAATGGTTCCAGCGCTGATTGGTCAGACTCACGGCTAACCTACCGTAATTTAAACCACAATGGTTCCAGCGCTGATTGGTCAGACTCACGGCAAGTCGTGCGCGACAACTAACAACGCACTTTCACAGCCGGTCGCGTACAAACACTCGCGAACTGTGTAAAATATATAATAATCACACACACACATGTATATTTATTTGTGACATCAATTTCTGTCAGTCACATAACGCCAATAAAATTAAAATTAGCAATCGCGGAAAAATAATGAGACGCTCCTTGGAGTGATAAACAGAATAACTTTTATTCCGACGTTGTCGCTTACAGAATATTGTTATACTGGCTGACTGGAATACACAGGTGTGTGTAATAACCAAACATTACAGACGTAATTTCCCGAGAACAAAGGCATGGATTCCTATCTGGCCGCTGTAGTGTCATTCTGCTCTTACTGGATAAAATTAGCCACCCATGTGCTAATTAATACTTTGCAGTCTGAGATTTGCTCACTACAGACAGTTACCGTACTTATGACCAGAGACCCACATAACAATTACGTTTCAAACTACATTTTCAGACAACTTCACATTATATGTGATCGTAGAGCTAAATTATTTCTTATTAGGTATTGAAGATTATTAAATTTCTTACTTACACGGTGACTATACCCTTATTGCACTGTATTTTCCACCATCGCTGACGAATTTACATATAACTACGCTTCTAACTACAGCTCCTGAGCTGTAGTTCGAACTACACAACTTAACGACAGTGTTTGCGAACGTTCGTTCGAACTATGGTTTCGAGACACACCTGCGTCGTTCAACGATACATCGCACCACGTAAGTCCGCAGTATCGTTACCTATGTAGTTTGAACTATGGTTTCGAGACACACTTGCGTCGTACTTACATAGTTTGAACCACGCAAGTTGCTAACGTAGGTAGCAACGATGGTTTCGAGAAACGCACCCCAGGTTAGTTTAATTTTCTTCATGATCCATTCCACAACTTCTAACTAAATGTCTATAATTAAGTGATTAGTGGTCATTGTCAACACACCACAACGAAATGTGACCTCTGCATTTGACCCATATGTGACTTTACCCTTGCTCAGGGTACCTCAGTGGTGACTTGCTGGTGGGGGATTCGAACCTGCAATCTTTCAATTACAAGTGCGCTACCCTAACCATCAAGCCACCACTGCCCAACTAACCAACTAGACTAACCAACCCTCACTGTGTTTGGAGTTTGCATGTTTCATGTTCCATTAACTTGTAAACTGTGGGATTCCTTCAGGAAGTGTGATTTTCTAATGCAGTCCCAAAAGTATGGTTAACCGAATTGTTTTGTTATGTGATTTTGTGAGTACATGTCCGGTTCATTTGCGTGTGGCATCCCATACAAGGTGTACCTGCCTTGTGCTTCACTGAACTTTTGTAGTGGATATGGAGTTGTGTAAATGTATTGCTAGTTAATTTAATTGAAGCCTGTTTCCAGTCATGGATTTGCAAGTGCTTTGTTTATTAGACGTACAGTAAAATACTACATTTGAATATAAAAATAATTTACCAGATTTTAAAGTTTTAACACTGCTATGCATTAGGAAACCAAACCAAATGCCCATCAATCTGCTCTAAGATAAACGTATATAATGTGATAATTACAATCAAGATCAGAATGTTGTGACATATTTCCAGGGTGCAGTTAGATCTCCTTTCGTAGAAAAGGTATACAGTGAGGTAATCACTTCGACAATAAATTTAAGGTTTGACGGACAAATGGCTTACCAAAATCCAAACACAAGATTAATGACATCAATTGGAAACTTCTTGGAAAATAAAACATCTTTTAAAACACACATATGCACATTAAATAAAAGTTAAAGTGCTCAACATAAGCTACATTTTAGTCTTTACTTCCTTTTACCAATCTGCGCCAGCAAACGTGCGTTATCGTCGGCTTTAGCGCGAAGGTTCTTATCTTTGGCTATGCTGAAGAGGATGTTCATGATATTAGTTGGTACATCGAGAGATAGTGTGAACTTTGCTTGCTGAACGCTTTTTGGAGCATTTCTTTGATCCACTTGCTTCAGGTAAGAGGTGGGAAATATTCTTCTTCTCCGAGACTCCTGAGAATCAAAGGTGCTTTTGGGCAGATTTCGACTGCCCAGCCCATCTGCACCGGTGAATTGGTAATTTCTCGCGGAGATGTCTCCGTCCAGAAGGCTTGGTTCGGACTTATACAGTTTGATGCGGTGACAGGATGTGGAAGTGCAGAGTACAGTAAGCACGAATAGGGGTTTAATATAAGACATTTTCTGTTCAAAGAAAAAACATATGAATCAGTTCTCATTTAAAAAAAAAAATCTGTGTAGCCTACTTTTTCTGTAATTTCTCAGCCCAGGGGAAAACTCGACGCATTAAATCGGGTGGTTTCGATCTGAATGGGACCACCCCCACAAAAAAAAAAAAAAAAAAACAGTGCAGAAATAGAATCCTCTTGAATATTTTTCGTGGCGACTGGTGGAGACAAGACTATCAGCGTCCTGGCGTTCTCAAGCTTTACCGCACTGTGAGCATATACAGGCTTGCCGTATGACTGTCATGAACCAAAGTTGTGGCACTAGTGCAATATTCTTTTGCTTGTGGTGTCTTAAAAGTTATTCTAAAATAGCCCAGGAGTATTCTTTAAAAAGAAACATCCGCACTGACAGTTATATGCGCAAAGTTTTTTTTTCTTTTTTTTTTTGTTTCAGCTCCTTTTCAGCTCCAATACATTTCAGGCTATGATGCGACACATGCTATCTAAATGTAACAGAAGAACAGGGAAGAATAACTGTGCATTTTTACAGCAAACTCAACGATCTATATTTAAGATATTAATTTATCCTGCTGTTGTATGGAAAGATACATCTACATGGATAATTTCCTATATATTTACAGGAAAAAAACTTACCTTGTGTAAGACGAAATGGTTGCAATGTAGTGAAATATAGAAAAGGCTGAGAATTAATGTTTTCTTCTTCTTCTCCTCTCTTTTTTGTGTCTTGATAAGTTCCCCTCGCGAAAATTGCAGAACCAGTCTGTATTTAAGGTAAAACCTAATTCCATAAATAGCGGTTCCGTTAAAATGCAATTCTCTGCGTGAACAAACGTCATAGATATAAAAGACAAGCCGCACAGTTACTAAGACGTGTTGTTCCAAAGGCAACCCTGAGTGGGGAGGGCAGAGCCATAACCGCAAATGCCTTTTATAATAAGTTACACTGTGGACCCGTATCTCTGAAATGACCATTAGATGATTGAATCATCTGTACTTAAACACCATAAGACTGATGCAGACCACGCGGCGTGTCACATATCCATCACCGCGTGAAAATGCCTAGGTAGCTATAAGTAAATTTTTCGTGAACCCCCTAAAAATTACCCCAAATCAATTATAAGTGGACACAAGTGAAAAGTTTGAAAGAAACATTAATGAAGACAATTAAGTGCATTTTGGCAATATCGAAAGTGTATTGCATCTAGCTTAGCTAGAATGTGTGACCATCATTACCCTGTCACATCTCACTTTAAAATTTAATTGTAACATCTGTAAAGGCAACGAAATACAAAATCATATTCGTACAATTCTTAAGCATTCCTTAATCGTGTAATATCGTTTGGACTGAGCATTTTTTGTTCTTTTGTGCTGTGTTAATCATGCTAGTAAGAAAGTGTGTGTCAATAATGAATTTTAAACAATGAAAAAAATGAAATAGATTTTTAGATTTTCTCTCTTGCATTAAAGTTTTATTTATCTGAAGTTAGAAATCGTAATCTTTTTGTTATAACAATAGTTTTAAGTGGCAATAATTTCAGGTAAATAGGATATAACAATGTTAGTGAGAGGTAAAGTGAAGTTCAAGCAATGATTTGATGGGTCTGTGTGTTAGAAGGTGAGTGAAAGATGTCATTGTTACAGGGCAGGGGTCATTAATGACAAAGGTATTTATAGGAAGTTATGGTTAGTATGGAACTGGTTAGTAAAGAAATGTCATTATAGGTTTTGGATACTGAAACAAATCAGTATGGAGTAGTTTATTAGCTAGCTGCTCAGTGCTCAGTGGGTAGCACTGCTTTGGAGACAGCTCAGGTTGAGACACCTGAGACAAGTAGACCCCTCAAAGATGTTTCTATCCAGTTCAAATATATGGCTCTCCCAGTAAGGGATACTGCACAGTAGGCCTCAGTGCTGGCCTCAGCAGGCAGTCCTTTTATTTTTCCATCAGCAACCAAAAGGTGCATTCTACCAAAAAGGTAAGAATGTCAGTCCATGAAATTATAGAAAGTGTATCCATACCCTTAAAATACATACACATTCCTCCTCGATTGAGATTCCCTAAACCAGGGGTATTCAACTAAAATTTAAAGAGGTCCAGTTAGAGAAAACTTCTTGAAGCAAAGGTCCGGAAGATCATAATGTCTAACTATTTAATAGTGTGATATATATTTAAGTAGCCTATTAATTGTACCAACATTGCATGTAATCAGTATGTGACTGTCAAATCAAATTAATTCAGTACAATTCAAAAACGTTTTGACAATATTTATTGTCACGTGACAAAGAACTTCGGCCAGCTGGCTGGAGTGAGATTTTCAATTCGAGATGTCTGTACACACATGTAACAGTTCTTACCTTATAAATAGTCTGCTTTTGTATTTAACCGTTCTTATCTTATGTTCTTACACTTTTAACGTAGCTAATTTTAGGTTTTATAATGAAATAATATAGATTTGCCATAAGATTTCCAGCGTGAGTCTGAAAGCGTGAGTGTCATGCCAGATGCTTGAGATTTGGCAGCCATGAAAATGTACATTTTAATTTATATAACAGATAACATTACTTTATACATATGTTAAAAAGCAGAAACTTCAACGAACATGAAATCAACAATAAACTATGTCTATTTATCCAATATGTTATATAATACATAATGTATTTGAAAACTGTTCAGCTTTATGATTTCAGGACAGACCAGTCACTCTGTTAGGAACATTACGGCTTTTTGGTTGTGGTTTTAGCTTCGATGCTGCTACTAACACTAACGGCACATTAGCGCAGACAAAGGGCTGCATACGCCGAACTACATCTTGCTTGGCGGTCAAAGGCGTTTGACGTTCATTGGCATGGGAAATGGCGGCTCTACTGCTAAACCACTACCGAAATGATTACAAACGCTGCGGCGGTTAAAATAGAAGCGTCCCGTCAGGTTTTAAATAATAACTTAATGTTTTGGCTATCGGTCTGGTCCGTATTGGACAGCTTCTGGGTCCGGACTCGGCCCGCGGTCCGCCTGTTAGTGACCTCTGCCCTAAACAGTTCAATATAAAGACATGCTGTTCGTAAACACCATATACTTACATATTTTGATTTGTAAATTCTTTTTACCATCATATGACTTCATAGGACACTTAGGTACAATAGGATTGCAACAAGCTTTCCTCACCATTCCCCAGCTCAGGTGGATCTCCTTCTCTGCTCTTTCTTAGACTCATTAACCTTAATATGAGGCCTCCTCCTCAGCTCAGGAAAATTAAAAAAAGGACTGATGAGGTTCATCCAGCTCGAACCTCCTGTCCCTGCCCTGTAGGACCAAGCTCCGAACCTGGGGGGACAGAGCCTTCTCCATCGTTGCCCCCACCCTTTGGAACTCACTGCCCAAATCCCTCCACGACTGCTCTGATCTCCCTACTTTTAAGAAAGAACTCAAAACTCACCTGTTTAAAATTGCTTTTAATGTTTGATTTTATGTTATAAATTGTGTGCTATTTTATTCTATTGTGTTGTGAAGTGTCTTTGAGTGTCTTGAAAAGCGCTTTATAAATAAAATTTATTATTATTATTATTATTATTACAGTGGTTACACTGAGAAGTGGTTGGAAGACAGATGGATGAGTTTCTCCTAGATCTCTCTCACTGAGTATCGAGTATCTCACTGAATATGGCTGTGTGTGTATGAGAGTTTATAAATTCTTTTATACATATTTCTTGTCGTCAATGTTTTGTTGCTTTGATGAATGTTTTACCAAGAATAATTGGTGCAGCCGTTGTGGAAGTAAAATTTTCACACGTTTCAATGAAAAAATTCTATCTAGCAAGACAGCTGCACATTTTAATTGTTTTACTTTGAATAGGGGGTAGCATGGTGGTACACTGTTGCCTCACACATCAGGGACTGGGGCTTGAGTTGCTTCATGTATCTAGAGCAGCAGTGGCCAATCTTATCCACAGAAGGGCCGGTGTGTATGCAGGTTTTTGGGGTAACCTTTAGGTCAGCTGTTCAAACCCAGGTGTGAGGAGGACTCAGCCAATCAGTCCTCTAATTAGTAATCTAATTAGGGAGCTGCAGCAAAAACCCGCACACAGCGGCCTTTTGCAGATAAGATTGAGCACACCTCATCTAGAGTTTGCATGTTCTCCCAGTGTCATCATGGGGGTTCCTTCTGGTGCACAGTCCAAAAACATAGCAGGTTGAACGGAGTTGCCACATTGTCTTTGTGTGTGCCCTGCGATTAGTTGGCACCCCATCCTGGGTTATTCCCTGCTTTGTGCCTGTAGCTTCAAGGATAGGCTGCAGATGCCTGCAACCCTGCATAGAACAAGCAGGTATAGAAGAAGGGTGGATAGTTTGAATAGTGTGACTGTGGTACATAACATCATATTCATGGCTAGCATACTGTAAAGATGCCTTACATATAACATCATGTGTACTATCCTTTTCCACATAGAAATACATTGAGGTAAGGGTTTCTTATGGAATTGTCTCATGCCCTGACAATATCCATCTTGGTTGTAGTGACAATGCTGAAAATCTCAAAAACATTCAAGAAAAAAGATTGATAAGTGCTTATCAAATTAAATGTTGGGAGAGCACACATTACATTGAATAAGCTGCTTCTCTTGGTGGTACCCCTCCCTCTTCCCTCTCTGCCAGATAAGCAAAAACAGATGGTTCCCTGCATCTGTCTGGAGAACTAGCATTTTTGCAAGCCTGCATCGTCTCTTTAGCTCTGTGTACACAATGCCTCCTACTGCTCAAACATGTGTAATAGCATAGACAAATACAAGAACCTGCCAAATCAAACAGAGATGCCAAGGTTTTGCTGGAAGAATAACTCTTGTGTGGATTTCTAAAAATGAAAGAATATGAGGAATGCCCAGTTTCTACTGTCCCTACTGTCTGGTTTTCCAGCCCTGGGGGACACTGTATAGACACGACATTGACAGCGGGTGCCGGCAGGCTAGGAGCCAGGAGGGTGGGACTACACCACACCCTGTATGGGAGCTGCAGAGGAGGTCACGACACAGAGAATGCCATTCTCTCGCTCACATTTATCAACACCCACTCTACCCATATTCAGAGGGCCAGGACTCTGTATCGTGTTAAGCTTTGAAGCAAAATTGTCAGTGAAAAGTATATTTTCCTTGCCATCCAATATTGAACCCATTTAAGGGTGCAAAGTAAAGCATTAATCACTCTCAGAGCACTCTACTCTGGAGTGTTTGGAGTGCCATAAAAAAGAAGAAATCTGTAAAATAATAAGTAAATAAATGTTCAATAAGAAAGTAAAATAAAAATAAAAGAATAAGAAAATACAGGCGTTTCTTTATTGCTTCTTCCATATTGCTTTTGCCTTTTCCTAATTGATTTTGCTTTTTCTCGAATGGCCAAACTGTCAATCAACTGGCTTTGGGAGGGCCTTCCCACAGGAACATGCCCCCTCAGACAGACTGAGTAGCAAAACATGGCTGATGTTAGTCAAGGAAAGTGTAAAACAAATGATTATTTGCTTAAATTAAAGGCAGTTGGATTAAACAGGGATCCGTTCAACTTCCCGTAGTACTTGTGGACCATGGACATTGATGTATGGCCAGCAACTGGGTTTCCTGTCAACATACTTTGCAGAATCTTTAAAAGTTATCTGGCTAACTGTCTAAACGTTTTTGTGAAGTAGCCCCTTATAAGGAAAACTAAGTTTATCTTGACTAGCCAACACTAACCACCCCCCACTTTGTTTGTATTAGTATTAGTATTATTTATTTATTTCACACTTGGTTCAAGAGTTTGTCTTTTCATACACACAAACAGTGATTTCCCTTGATATAACACTGCACCAATGAGTGAAAAGGAGCAGGAAGAAGAAAATTTTCTTATTAAACCCTGCCCCCTATCTACATAATATTACAGGTAAGCACCCTTAACCAAGGAACACACTAGAATTTATCTACAAATCATAACTCAAACTACAACAATAATACAATCTGCAATATATCACACCACATAATAAGGAGAAGAAAAAGAAAAAATAATAAATAAATAAGAAAAGAAGTAAATAAAAATAAGGTTCTTTAGTTAACTCATATGTCTTTCATGTATTTCATATTGACTTATTGTTTTAAACATGTAGCACTTTTTAAAACAATGTATATTTGTACAACTCCTAAGATTATAATGAAGAGAGTTCCACAATCGTATACCCCTAACTTTTGGACTCATTAGTCTTTGTGTAGTCCTAGCAAACTGATGCTTAAAATAATATTTCCTTCTGCTATCCTCACCTCCTAAACACATTGAATATAATCTTTGTAACTTGAAAGGCAATATATTATTTTTAGCCTTAAACATATTTAGTAATGTCCGTAATTTCACTAAATCTTCTAATTTCAATAGTTTTGATTTTATAAACAATTTATTTGTATGTTCTCTATATTTAACATTATGAATCATTCGTATCACTTTCTTCTGTAATAAGTATAGAGGTTTTATAGTAGTCACATATGTATTCCCCCAAACTTCCACACAATAACTGAGATACGAAAAAAACAATGAAAAATATAAAATAGTCTAATAAATCTCTAACATTTCCCAAAATATAAATATTTTTGACCATCTTTTTTCTAATATACTCAATATGAGATGAACTTTTCATCTACTATTACACCCAAAAAACGGAATTCATTAACTCTTTCAATCAATACTCCATTAATGAACCATTAACGGTGTGGTACGGGAACTGCACTGTTCAGCACCGGAAGGCCCTGCAGAGGGTAGGCGCACAACAGAACGCACCATGAGAACCCCTCTACCAGCACTGCAGGACATCTACACTGAAAGGTGCAGATCCCGGGCCATCAGGATCACCAGTGACTCCAGCCATCCCGCCCATAAACTGTTCAGGCCACTGAGGTCTGGGAAACGCCTCTGTAGCCTGAAAACAAGAACGGAACGGTTTAGGAGGAGTTTTTACCCACAAGCAGTGAGACTCCTAAACCACAGCACATAACTGGACAACACAA